TTCCTTCCTTCCTTCCTTCCTTCCTTCCTTCCTTCCTTCCTTCCTTCTTTCCATTTTCCCCCACCAAGAATATCCTGTTTAGGTTAAAGCCTCACCCAAGTCCCTGGCATTCATATACCCCAAGAGTCTAGAATGTTTGGGTTAAGGCTTCACCCCAACCCCTGGCATCCATGTATCTAAAGAGTCTGGAATGTTTGGGGAAAAGTACCATCCCAAGCCCTCTTCCCTCAGTCCAGACTCCACCCATAAGAAAGCCTGCCAAATGATGACCTCCCCCCAGAGATATTCAAGACCACACCCAAAGGGTATTTAAACTGCCCCCAGAGAACAAACGTGGTTTTCTGGTCTTCCTTCCCCAACTACTCTCTGGGGTGCTGGAAAGTCATCCAGGAGCATTGTTATCCATTAAACCTGGGCTTTCTTTAATTCGGTTTGATTTGGTCTGATTTGGATCATTGCCTTGGTGGAGGGGCTTATTGGGGTGCAGAAACTTTTCATAGCCTAGCTGTTTCAGGAAGTGTCCTGTCTGGGGCTAGCTGACAGGGCACATTCAAGGCAGGAGCAACTTCCTCATGGCTTATACAAGCGAAGAACAATTTTGTTTTTTCATGCTTAACATGGTAAATTGATCCTCTAAACACAATGTTCACCATCACACTTCAAACTCAGCGAATCCTGACTGTTAGAAGGCTACAGACCATCATGGTGGCCTTGCTCACTGAAACCTTGCCTGCTGTGTTTCCTCTCTGCATCTACTTATTTGTTTGCTGTAATCTCACCTATCAGCAGTCTTCAAACAAGAAAACACAGGAGCAATGAAGGATGCCTGGTCAGAACCCTGGCCCTGCACCATGTGTCTCAGTGTGGAAGTGTGTCTGATGCAGGTGATAGGGGAGATCACAGTTTCCTAACAGCCTGGAGTCAGCTGAGCAGACAGCGAACTTCTGACTGCAATCAGAGACTGGGTGTTCTGGCCTTGTCATGGAAGCAGCAATAATCATGTGATATTCACAACAGGGAATGGAGGGAGATTTTCCCAGCAAAAGTGATGTGGTGAGCATGGGGCAGGAGCCTTGTTCCTTTCAGAGGGCTAGGACAGCTCTGCAGTCACAGCCACTGTCCTCATGGAGGAGACTGGCAAATTACCCCCCCATAGTGATTAGAAGAGGGGGGCAGCAGAACAGAGCCTACTCCATGTTCAATTTGAGCTGGTGCACATTTCTTTCAGGTTTAAGTTCATGCTTTGGGAGACTAACAGGCTGTTTCTGTGTCCTGCTTCCTTTATGTCATGGTGCTAAGGGAGCACCTGGGAACACGAGGGTTAGGGGGAGACATTCAGAGCTTTGTATCTCAGTGAGTCCAGCACCCAGCTCAGGGATACAAGGGCTACATCTCCCCATATCTCACAGTTAGTATTGTTTGCCCCTTTATGCTCCTGGGTAGAGACCCTCCTCGGTAGAGCAGAATATAGTGAACCGGGTGTCAGGCAACTAGCAGTCTGTTAGGCAGGAAGGACTTCATCAATGGACGTAGTGTGCAGA